CAACTGGGATCATGTCTTATTAAAAAGTTTCTGCATGTCAAAAGAAATTTCTAACATAGGGAAAAGAAAACCTACAAACTGGGAAGCAATCTTAGTGAACTCTCCCTCGTACAAAGGACTTCTGTCTAAAACATATAAAGAATTTAAAAAAAAAATCAGATCCCCAAAACTCAAGAATCCAATCCAAAAATGGGCAGCTGAGATGAATACATAATTCTCAGATACAGAAATACAAATGGCAAATAAATACATGAAAAAAATGTTCATCATCATTACTCATTAGAGAAATGCAAATTAAAACCACGCTGAGGTTGCATCTCACTTCTGAAAGAATGGCCAGGATCAAGCCAACAACAAATGCTGGAGAGGCTGTGGGGAAAAAAATAACTCTTCTACACTGTTGGTAGGAGTATAAAGTGGCGCAACCATTGTGGAGGTCAGTCAGATTTCTCAGAAGGCCTGCAGTGGAAGTCCCATTTGTTACAGCTTTAGGTATATTCCCAGAACTGAAAACTTCATACCACAGTTATATATGTGCACCCATGTTTATAACAGCAAAATTTGTAATAGCCAGAATAAAACCATTCCACTTAATGAATGAGAAAATTATAAGGCTTCAAAGCAATATAATGGGGAATCATGAATACCACATATTTTTGTGTGGTATTCTTACCATTTCTTACACTAGGGAAACTATTTGGTATTTATCCATGTGAGTTTGATTTATATTGCTTATGAGTAAGCAAACTCAAGCTGTGTCCATTTATTTATAAATATCTCAATGTGATCATTATTTTAGCTGAGTAGTACTCCATTGTATAAAATTACCACAACATTTTTATCCATTCCTCAGTTGATGGACTTTTTGGTTTGATACTATAGTATATCAAGGTATACTCAAATATTTCAATGAAAGAGACACTATGGTAGCTATCATTATGTTGGATTGTCTTGTAGTGAAACAACATGTTGCTTAAATTGTTCTGTTCTGACCTGTGTTGTCATACCCTCTTTCATCTTAATCTTCTTTTAATAAAAAAAGAACTAGGGTGCTTCTTCATTTTTCTTAAGAATTTATACAATTTTAATATTCACATGAGAAGTGCTAAATAATGATATGGTTAATGCCCATGATCAGTGGACAGAAGTGGAAAAAAAAGGTCATTGATCGCATCAATCATCTCAGAAAATTTCATCTGTCACATTTGAATGTTAAGGAGTAGGAATTACTTAATCATAAACTGACAAGAATTTGAAGAAAAGTACAGGGTTGAAGGCTGAGCTCATGGAAAAACTACTGCCTAACGTGTCCTGAGTTCAATCTCCAGCATCTTATCAAAAAAAAAAAAAAAAAAAAAAAAAAAAAAGGAAAGAAAAAAAAAGTAAAAGAAAAAAGAGGATAAAAGTACTGAATTATATATTTTAATGATGCTAAGGAGAGTCTCCTGAAAATGTGCCATGACACAGTCTATGCTGCTTAAAAATAAATTTACAAAGTCAAATAGTTTGAATTTATTGAAAGATAGGATAGAAATTTTCAGTGCATCCTACTTTCATTTCTTCTTTATTTTGTGATAATCCCTTGGTAGTTTGGTTTTTACTGGCATGTTATTTTATTGTTGTGCATATTTTATTCAAGTAAATTAGCATTGATTAACTGCTCATTACCATTTGAGAAATGGTTTTATTTTTAATCTTTTTTTATTTTATGTGTACAAGTTTGCAGTACATAATGATCACAATTATTATGGAAAGCTGGCACATGTACATGGCACATCTTATTTCTTTTGTATCTTTATTGTAAATTAAATTTGTTGTACACTTTAGATATACATAGATCATGTTCATTATAAGGAATTTCTATTTGTAAATAATGTAATTTGATCACCCCTTTTTTCCAATCCTCTCCTCTCCCTTAAATTCCTCTTTCTCTTCTTATTTAAAAATCTTATTTGCATTGTATCATTTTATTTATGGTTTCATTTCCTTTTTGCTTCCCTCCTTCCTCCTTTCCCTCTTCCCTCTCGATAGTTAGTTCTTTGCTTTTGAAAAGTTTGTTCCCAGTTTACAGTAGCTATTGTACATTTTGGTCCATATATATTATTCTGCTTTGTCACACCTGGGATACAATGTGATGTTTACATATGTGTGTCCAATTTATTTTACTTAAGTATCTTCTCAAGGTGCATTGATTTACCTTTAAATCTCTTGTTTATCCTTACTTATGGCTGAGTAGTACTGCTTAAAAAAAAAAACATGTCTTTTTAATTTATTCCTCTGCTGATGGGCATTTCGGCTGTTTCCAAGGTTTAGGTACTAGAACTGTGCTGCTATAAACATAGGTGTGCATATATCACTATGGTATGACACTTCTAATTATTCCTGGAAGATTCCCAGAGGGGAACAGCTGAGTTGAATCCTAGTTTCTTAGAGAAATCACACTGATTTGCACAGTGGATGCATAGTGGAGGATTCTATTCTTCTCATTCCCCCACCAACATTTGTGACTAGTTTATTTCTTGATGACAACATTCCTTCTGGAGTAAGATGGCATCTCGGTTTGTTTTAACTTGCAGATCTTGAATGATCAATGATGATGACATTTTTTCATATATTTATGAACCATTTGTACATCTTCGTCTGAGGAGTGTGTATTCATCTCACATGCCCATTTTTGGATTGGATCTTAAGTTTGAAGATCTGATTTTTTTCAGTTCTTTATATGTTCTAAATAGAAATCCTTTTTCTGAAGGACAATTGTCTAAAATATTTTCCTGCTCTGTGGGTTGTCTTGGCAGTGTGTTGGTGATTTCTTTTGCTATGAGCAAAACAAAAACAAAAACATACTTTTTAAATAAAGTTAGGTCCCAGTTGTTGACTCCTTACAGCATTTCCAGTGAGATTGGGCTTTTTTATTTTTCATAGAATCTTTGCCTACACCTATATCTTTAACAATTCTGCCTATTTTCAATTCCAGAAGATTTAATGCTTCTTTTTTAATATTTAGATCTTTGATCCATTTTGATTTTAGATTAAATCTATGACATATGTGTCATGTTTTAGTGTTTGGCATGTGAAAAGTTTTTCCAGCACTGTTTATTGAAGAGGCTATCTTCCAGGAAATACTTTTGGCCATTTTGTCAAAAATAGCTTGGATGAATGTGTTTGGAGTTGTATCTTTGTCTTCTAATCTGCTCCACTGATCCTCAGGTCTATTTTATTTTTACCATGCACTGTTGATTTTAATCTTGTAGCATAATTTCAAATCAAGGATCGTGATGGCCTCTGCCTTGTCTTTGTTACCAGATTTTCCTTTAGTATTCTAGGTCTCTCCTGGTTCCAAAAAAAAACTTTAGGAATGAATATTTTTTCTTGCTCTTTGAGGTGTGCTAAGGAGATTTTGTTCAGAATTGCATTAAATCTTTACAACAATTTTGGGAGTGCAACTATTTTTACTACATTGGTTCTTCCTCTCCACGAATAAGGGATCCTTTATTGGGGGGGGGGGGCTGGGGATCAAACTCATGACCTTGCGCTTGTCAGGCTGACACTTATGCTGCTGTGCTAAACCCATGGCCCCAAACAAGGAATATATTTATATTTTCTTTATTTTTAATTTTAAAAAGCAAAACAGAAAAAATGATAGACGATACAGAATTTTAAAAATATAGTAGAAAATTAACATTAGCTAATATGTTGCGTGTGATTATCTTAGAAGTAGTTGTACAGGTTATGAGATTTAGGCATAAAAAGTTAAGCAAGAATCAAATAATGAAATCATGAACTATTCTTTTTAATAAACTAGTAGTGATTGGCAGTATACTTATCTCTATTGTGTATAAATATGTATACATGTGCTTATATAAGCATATACATGTATATGTATACAGATGACCTCAGCCACCAAGGGGAGCCTTGGCTGTTCCCCCACACCTGAAAGACCTCAGCAGCCCACGGACCATCACTGACCCCTTCCACTACCTACCGAAACTTGGTGGGCTGCTGGGAGCCTTGAATCTTTCCATTTTCTGATATTCTGTTTGATCTCTTTTTTCAGGAAACTGGAGATTTCAATGTACAGGTCTTTTGCTTTCTTTGTTAGGTCGATTCACATGTATTTCATGTTTTGGGATGTTATTGTGAAGTGTGTGGTTTCCCTAATTTATCTTTCACTGAATTTGTTGTTTGTTTATAGGGATACTGTTTAATTTCTTTAATGTTATATATAACATATTGGTTGTTTAAGAAAGAGTTAATTTTCGTTTTTCTATGTAACTTTTGAGGTTTCTTTGGACATTGATTTCCATTTTCTTTGTAATGTGGTCAAATAATATTCACTGGATAATTTCAGTTCCTCTGCATTTACTTAAGCATGTTCTATGGGCTCTTTTGTGGTCTATTTTGGAGAAGGTCCCATATGAAGCTGAAAAGAATGTGTATGTTGTTGTGGGGTGGAATCCTCTATAGACATCTACTAAGCACATTTGTTTCATTTAGTTTATATTTCTTTATCTATCTTTCTTTTTTTGTCTAGTTGATCTATCTGTGACAAGGGGAGTCTTAAAGTCCCCCCACAATTACAATTGTGTTAATGTTTATTTGATGTTTTATGTCTATTAATATTTGTTTTGTGTAGTTGGATGTCCTGAAGTTTGGTGAATATATGTTTATAACTGTTATCTCTTCCTCTTGGAGTTTTCCCTTAACACATATGTAGTGACTTTCTTTTCTCTTAATTGGGTTGGAGGTTGTTTTCTTTTAGGGATTGAAAGACCTGACCCCAATCTCTCCTTAACTTACGGGTTTGTGTTGAGAAGTCTGCTGTGATTCTCATGGGCTTTTCCTTGTAGATAATTTGTTTCTAACTCTTTTACTATTTTTTTTTTTGTGCTGATTTTCTAGAATCTTGATTATTGTATGCTTTGGTATAGACCTATTTTGGATATTTGGATTTCTATATGCTTCACTTATTTGCATGTCAAATTCTTTTCCATAGGTGGAAAAATATGAAAGGCTTCGCAAATATGCATGTCATCCTTGTGTATGGGCCATACCAATCTTCTCTATATCGCTCCAGTTTGAGTATATGTGCTGCAAAATTGAGCACCTTAATTCTTTTAAAATCCCTTCCCCTTCCCCGCTTCCATTTTTTAATCTGTTTCCCATTCGCAAACACTTTTAGAATATAATGCAATTCAGTCAATGGATACATATTGAGAATAGATAGAAAATACATATTGTTTGTATGTCTAAAATTTCTTTCTTTCTTTCTTTCTTTTTTTTTTTTTGTTGCACTGGCTTTTGAACTTAGGGCCTTTGCAAAATAGAAAGTTATCTTTCACTGAGATACAACCTCATCCCTTTTTTAATATTTCATTTTTGAAACTTATTCACTAAATTTCTCAGCCTAGCCTTGCAATTTTTATCTTCCTGCCTCAGGGCTCCAAATAGGTGGAACATAGATGTGTACCACAGTGTTGGGCTAAGTTGTTGAAACTTCAACTGGAATATATTGCCTTGGCAAAAATAGTGCTTTATAATTAAACAGAGATCAGAGTCATATGTATTTTGATTTCTGGATATTCTGTCCCCAAGATACTCTTGTAATGTCATAAGATTTTGTGGAATATATATATATATATATATTTATATATATATAAATATATATATATACATACATATATATATGTATGTATATATATATATATATAAATATAAATATATATATATAAAAAAATATATATAAACAAATCTTATGTTTAGAATACATTTAAATGGAGCTAGACTATCCCCATATTGTTTGATAGTTTAAAAAGTTTTAATATTCACTTCAGAAATGCTAGACAATGGTATGAGCAATGCCCATTGCCAGTGGACTGATCTGGAATCAAAGGTAATTGATTGATTAAGAACATTTAGCTGAGTTGACTGATAAACATCAGATTTTATGTTGTTTTGTGTTTCCTAACTGATAAATCAATGTGCTTGTGAACTAATTTTATATCTTATTAAAATATGAAGAAATTCGTGCTCACATGTCATATAACTTTAAAATAGTTTCAGTTTTGAAGGGTTTATGTTTTATGCTCTTTATACATACTATTTACTACATGATAATTTACTAGTGTAGTACATGGTTTTGTAAATTTTCTATCAATTTTCCTGTTATGTAACAATAGATCGAAATAAATACATATACATGTAAAAGAGATAAGTACTTTAAATGATGATACATAAATGATAAACTGGAGTACATGTATTTATTTCAGTATTGATGAAAAAGCCATATATGGGTTGTCATGGCTGAATATTTGCTTGGGGAGACTTTAAATAGCTATTAAATCGGTAGTAAGTAGCAAACAAAATAATAAAAATACAAATAGAAATAGAGGTTTAAAATTAAATGTTTAGCATGGTATGCAGTCCCCTCCTCTCTTTTAAATAGCTGCTTACCTAGGGCAAGATTTTTCATCCATTTTTTTATATCAATCAAGTTAACAGTTAATTAAAGGGAGCTAACATTTTACCTGCTATGTGAATTCTTTGATGAATACTATGATATTAAATAATATTAGGGTATTGTAGAAAAGTAAATATGATACAATGTTATTATTAAAAAATGCTAGTCACAAGTAATAAGTTAAGGTAACTGGGCCAGGAATATAGCTCAGGGGGACAAATGCCTGCCTGGCAAGTGCAAGGTCATGAGTTTGATATTTGATACGAGTAAATAAATAAATGTATCTAAAGTAGGCATTTTATGATCTGCAGGCAACTCGACCAGCACAGAAATGTCATGCAATTCCTGTATCTCAGTGTTTCAGGGTAAAACCAGCCCCATCACTCCACTCCATAATTTCTTTCTTCACAAACATCTTCTTTGGTGTTAGAGGCGATTCATTTTACTCTTGTTTGTAACAATTTCCATCCATCCACTTCAGCACTACTGCCTCAATTAGGTTCCATTTCTAATTCTTCTCTAATTCCTTAGATAAAATGTGTGTAACTTGGAGACCCGGACAGTGAAAAATGCATCCCTATTACATCATAAACTTTTAACATTATTATGTCAATTTTAACATACATATTATGCATAAATACCTATGGCTTCATAGGGCATAATGGAAACTATGTGCAGGAAGGGTGGATGCTCACTCTTCACAGTTACCTGAGAGAAACCTTTATGTACTGGACAATACATGTGCTAATGCATTTTGGTGAACAAAATGTTTAATTACAGTTAATCATATTTCAGCCTAGCTCTTCACATATGTTTCAGGGAACACAAATGTGCATATTATTATGTAGATAGCTAAATTGTCTGCATTCATTATTATTATTAAACTTGGATTTGTTGTGTTGTAATAATTTAGGTATATTACAAAAAGTAAAGGCAGCTGTGATAGTTACATACATTAATTATATTACACATGTTATTTTGAGCCACAGACTATCCCTCTTCACTCGATGTGGCCTAGGCAAACCAAAAGTTTGAGCACACATTCCCTACAACCTCTCAGTGTGCCCTCTGCAACGTTGAATCATTTTTCAGTAAAAGGTACCATGTGTGAAATTTTTTTCTCAACATTGTATCTTGGCTGATATATTACTCCAATAATAATTATTGATGACTATCACATCTTTGGAGATAATCATGATAATAATGTGACATTTAGTTACTTGATATTTATTATTTCAGTTTTTTTCCAACATCCCACCCATCTGTCTTGGTAGTTATCATTTGGCTTGTCCTCATCAATAACTGAATTCATCCATAAACTCCATAAAAGGTCTCCATCTTTGACCATAATTTTTTATCTTTTGATCCAATTTCTTGTATCTTATAATCATACTATTAAATCATGCAATATGTATATTGTTTATGCTCATATTCGAACTTAAATTTTATAGCACCATTAAACATATTTTTTGATAAAATTATTTTGTCTTGCTTTTTTTCCCACTCTGTAAAACTTGCCATACATGGTATCCTGTAGTTAAAGCCAGTTTTTACATTTTACATCATTTCTGTTCTTCTCCTGTGAATATAATTGAAAACAAACAAGAAAAGTATTCAACCAAGCTGACCTATTACAATATGGGCTAGGGAGTTCAATAAGGTATGTAAAATCTGCAAAAAGAAGAAAACTTTGTATCTTAAGAATTCATGAAAACTTTCCCTGTAAACTGAGTAAGATAAATTGTCCATGTTAAAGGAAAATAGAAACTGTTTTTTTTGATACTGTGAATGTGATTCAACTATTGTTGAATGTTTCAAACTATGAAAAAACGAATGTTTTCTTACTAGTATACAGTTAGAATATATAGTAAAAATGGCACTTAGCACTTTTACAATTTTCCTTTGTCATAACTTTATAAACTTTCTATGACTATAACACTTACTACTGAGAAGTTTTCAAATAAATTTTAATCAGTGACACTACAGCCAAGTATAAAATGTTATCCTATAGATAAGTTTGATATTCATTTTGTTATCATTTAGATATTAAATATCCTACAAATGACTCTTGTGTTTGGAAAGCGGTTAGACCCTGGAAGCATGATAGGGATTTCCTTTTTAGAGGTGTGAGTCACAGAAGTGTGACCTGGAAAGTGTGTTTCTATCCCTGGATCCTTGCTTTGTTCTCTGCTTCCTTGCCATCATGATGTGAGCATCTTTCCTCTGTCAAACCCTTCTGCTATGGTGTTTCTACTTTGAAGACCAGTGACCATGGACTGAAAATAGGAGCCTCTTCTTTTAAGTTGTGGATATATGGTGTAAAGAATTCATATCAGCAAAGAAGAAAGTGAAAAAAAACACATTCATTGCTTCCAAGGCTTTATTTGATATCACCAAAATTTAAGGACTTCCAAGTTTTAAAATTATTTTAAAAAGCATAGCACTGTCTTATTATGACCACCTAGATGTACTATACATAAAATTGTACAAACTATGAAGGAAAGATAACTTAGATGGCTGTCAGGTTGCTATACTTCCAATTAAGGGACACAGCATTCACTACAATTTTACAATTTTCAAAACCAAGAATTTATGTGCAGAATGATCATCATAGTTTAATGTAAGTAAGCACAACTAAACAATCACTTAGCTAAATATAATTTTAAAAGTACAGTGCATTATTTTTGAGACAGGGTCCCACTCTGCAGTTCAGGCTGGCCTTGAGTTCACTTTGTAGCCCACTTTGTTAAGGAACCTGAAATGATTTCCCTGCTTCAGCCTCCCTAGTACTTTCACCCTTTTCAATGATGATCTTTCCAACATTCTTGCTATCTGGAGCCACAGCTTTTCAGAAGCTTTCTTTCTGATGTAACAGAAAACTTTTCATATCTGATTTTATGGCCTGAATTTTCACTGTAGACCTAAGAGCAGCCCACAGTGCCCATGCTACAACCTGAACACTGCACACCTTGAAATTTTTGCCGACAGATTAATTAGTCTATTAATTAATTAATTAGTCTCACCCGTAATCTAAGTCCAGCAATTCTCAGCAGTGGGGAAAGTGAAGATAAGTTTTCTGCCAGGATGTAACACACATAGTCTCTCATCCAGTTTTCAGTGTAGGTTTTGTTGCCAGCTGAAACCTTCTGAGACTCGTCTTTACTGTCTGCTCTTCTGAGAGAATTTAGTATTCTGAACTTTGATTGAAATTCCCCATTAAACTCAGTTACAGCAGATTAGGAATTCTTCAGTCAGAATCTTCAAAACTTTCCAACACCTTTTCCAGTTTACTCTCTTAGAGTTACTTTCCTATCAGTGTGACACAGCACCCAACACCTCTAACTTAGAGGAGGAGAACAATATTTTATTTAACAATTCAGTGTGTTCAGTCTATGCACACCTGGTTCCAAGGCAAAGGTGATATGGTAGAGGGGCATGGTGGGGCAGTGCTCTTTAGTTCATGGTAGTCATAAAGTAGAGAGAGAATTGAGAACCAGGACAAGAATATGTCTTTCCATGTCAGACCCCAGCAACCCACATCTGACAAAGACCCAGGTCCTAACACCAAGTCAGTTATGAGCTCATCAATGAAATCCACTGATGAATATAGCATCCTCATGGTCCAATCATATTGAAAATATTTGTGA